TTGCCACAATAAGGAAAAAGAATATAAGAAATATAAGAAATATAAGATAAATATACAAAATATGTTAGGTTTTATATTTGACGGTATTTTGATCTGAATTATAGACAAACTCACAAATTAGCTGTTTCTGTTCATCCTAGCGTGTATTTTAATAATTGTATAAGGAAATATGTTGAAATTTCATATTAACAGGCTATATTGTCAAATAACCTCAAGCAGTTTAAATAAAATGCACTTATTCCGAACACACAACAAAATATATAAATAAATGAATAAAAATAAATAAATAAATAAATAAATAAATAAATGAATGAATGAATGAATGAATGAATGAACGAACGAACGAACGAATAAATAAATAAATACACGAATGAATGAATGAATGAATGAATGAATGAATGATTGAATGAATGAATGAATGAATGAATGAATGAATGAATATAAACACTAAAAAAGTCTTATCTTCTTCGTTTCTAAATTTAATTTCGGAGTTGTCTAAAAATCCTTTATATCGATCAGCTTTTCTACTATTTCCCGTTTTAATGTCACATTCAATCAAGTCGCATTTTATTTTTGTTTATTATTATCAAATCATTTTACATTTACGTGCATGATTTGTTTTTATGTGCAATAATCGATCTCATGGTTAGGTACACTACAGATGATAAATCTGCGGTAAATCTCTACGAAATTATCTTCCATTTTATGGTTTTGAGCAACACATTAAAGAGTAGGCATTCAAAATGTAGGTGTTAAAAGGCAAACAATAAACATTACAAAATATGGTATAGACATAATAATACTGTTTATTCTAAAAGGGGACATTTATGACTGCTTTAACAAAACATTTGTGACATTATGATGTTTCTCAAATAAAGAAACATTTTTGAAATGATGGTGTTTCTCTAATTTGGACACACCTGGAAAATGATGATGTTTCTCAAATAAAGAAACATTTGTGACACGATGGTGTTAATAAGATGGGGAACGTTCATGACATAACGGCGTTTCTCCTATATGGACACATGTGTGATATAATGGCGTTTCTCCAATAAAGAAACACCTGTGATATAATGGTGTTTCCCCGTAAAGAATCATTTGTACACATATGTGACACAATGGTATATTTCCAATAAGGAAACTTTTGTAACATGACGGTTTTTCTCACATGAGGAAACTTTTGTAACATGACGGTTTTTCTCATACAAGGAAACTTTTGTAAACCAAGAAAATTTTGGACTTGTGAGAGGCTATAAATGACCCCAGATTGATCATAAGGTAACGTGTAACCAACGCTGAAAAGCATTTGACTCTATCTCAATCCATTGAGAAGTTGCAGCACTTTGAAATCAATTTTGATGGAAAAAATCAACGCAAAATAGTGATTTTTGGCAATTTTGAGATGTCCCCTCGTTGCCATGGTAACAGAAAATTTAAGCCTGAGCATGTTGTTGCAAGGCCAATGGTCCAGTCAACATTTGTGCCAAGTTTGATTAGTGTTGAAGCAGTTTTTATAGTATTATAGCAATTTGAACTTGTAACGGGAGACTTTTCAATGAAAACAGCCATTTTTCACAAAATGCTCATGAAGTAATGGGTTAACAATATCCGTGAACAAATTGTTTTCTTACTTCCTTGTATGTTATTTTGGCTGGGCCTATCAGAGGTGATTGAACGGTCATCATTGTCAATGTTGGAATTTTCCTATCATTGGGGATGAAAATTTCAAGGGAAAATTCTTGAATTTCTGGGATTTTTTTAAATGTCTTGTTTACCAGGCATCTATTTCTGCGATAAACACTACCTGCGATAAACACCACCTGCGATAAAACACCACCTGCGGGTGTTTGTACAGTGTTCATTGTGAACTGTTACAACCTTGGCTGGTTCCAATAGTTTATTGACCCGAATTCTTACACTTTCAATTTTAGTGGAGATAATTTTCTCACTGATTTGTCATAGTTGGACTTTTCATTGAATTTTATTAATTTATTTATATTTATTTATTTATTTATTTATTTATTTATTTATTTATTTATTTATTTATATTTATTTATTTATTCGCTTTACATATTCTGGGCTGAAAGTTTTTGGTTAAAGTTGTAAGTTTGTTGTAGGCAGGATAGATTGTGTTCTTCTGCCCATGAAGAACTGATTTGGGGAGAATCCGCGTTCCAATTTGGGTATTTCTATATTTCAGTATGGCTAAATAAGAGTCTCATTGACTTTCTTGAGCTTTTTTTAGAAAAATGCGTTTGACGTTAGACGACCCATTGCTAACCAGATGTAATGGACTAGATGTCTTATGCGAGAATTCCCATTATTTTTAGCGAAATTGCAGAATTTTTTCAGATGAAAATTGTGGTTCATTGTCAGTGACAAGTTTGTCACAAATACCATATCTGGCAAAATGCACTTTGAGTTTTCTGACTACAGTGATGATTTGTGCATTACGAGCATTTACCTAAAAAGTATCTACTGTAATAATCAACTGTCACCAAATAGTCCTAACTGTCAAGTGAGAAACTATTAGCGGCAACGTTTAGCCAAGGTCTTTCTGTTCACTAGGTTTTTTTTTCTATCTGTCAGCAGATATGATTTTTTCATTACTTTTTTGTTTTATCATCAGTGGTCCAGAGAACATTAGCTCAACATGTCTTGAAATTTATTCCATTGGTCAGGGAGATTGCTAGCTTCTCAGTTCACGACTGGAACAGATCCTATTTAATGTAACTAAATCCTTTGTATTCCAATACTTTCTCTGCCTGACACAATGTAATGTTTTCTGTTTTATGTACGTATACACATGTATACTATTGTAATATGACGGAGTTCGGTCATTCACTAATGTAAATAAATTGATAAGAAGAACGAAGATAAGGTCAAGGTAAAATTATCAGGTTAAACTGGTATCATTACACTTATGTTATTATTCTGAAATTTCCTTTGATATAACATATATGAGTGTGTGCAAAGCAAAATATTCCAACAGCATACCTTATTTGAAAATAAATATATTATTGGTGTACCTAGCAGAAAAATGTTCATATACGTTTTCTTATTGCATAGATTTGAAATGGATATTTTTAATTCCAGCCGATTTGACTTTAATCTTCTACAAATATTTAAAAGATCTGGTTTACCTTTTTATCTGATGCATTTTTATAAAGCCATTTACAGGCTTTATTCTGATACCAGTTTTTGTATCCTTCTTTAAAATGATTGATATAAGATAAGGGACTATATGGGCACATCTGATGATCATATATCTTAACCCATGTCTATATGTAACATTTCATGCTGTCTTGTGAACGTGAATGGGATCAACACCGGAATATAATAAATTAATTATTTGAGAGGAGAATGTCTTGTAAGAGTAGATATAGATCGGTATATTGAGGACAATAAGATGACGAATGACCGGCCTGTTTACACTGATAAATGGCTTGTATCTCCAGAGATATCTCTAAATATACTTGTTTCACTGGATGAAACTAGAGTCCATAAATCACAAAAAACGTTTCATAAAAACAGTCCGAAACCGCTTTGTTTGATATTGAAAATCTGTAAATGGCATATATTGATGGCGTCCCTGCAAATGTATCTTTTAACCAGAATTTAGAGACTTAAAAAATGAAAACAATACCCACATATTAAGTTTTCTATCTCTATATTGGGTCTCATATTTTGCAATAATGATCAAACAAATTGCCACCATGAGGAAAAAAGAATATAAAAAATATACAAAATATGTTAGGTTTTATATTTGAAGGTATTTTGATCTGAATTATAAACAAACTCACAAATTAGCCTTTTCTGTTCATTTCTAGCGTGTATTTTAATAATTGTATATGGAAATATATTAGAATTTCATATAAACAGGCTATATTGTCAAATAACCTCAAGCAGTTTTAATAAATGAATGAACAAACGAACGACGAACGAACGAATGAATGCATGAATGAATAAATAAATAAATATAAATACATAAATGAATATAGACACTTATCTTCTTCGTTTCTAAATTTAATTTCGGAATTGTCTAAATATCCTTTATCGATCAGCTTTTCTCCTATTTTCCGTTATTATGTCACATTCAATCAAGTCGTATTTTATGTTTGTTTATCATTATCAAATCATTTTACATTTATATGCATGATTTGCTTTATGTGCAATAATCGATCTCATGGTTAGATACACTACAGATGATAAATCTGCGGTAAATCTCTACGAAATTATCTTCCATTTTATGGTTTTGAGCAAAACATAAAAGAGATGGCATTCAAAATGTAGGTGTTAAAGGGCAAACAATTAACATTACAAAATATGGTATACAGTCAACATTTGTGACATAAAATAATGTTTAATCTAAAAGGAGACATTTATGACCGGTCGCTGTATCTCCTTTAACAAAACATTTGTGACATGATGATGTTTCTCCAATAAAGAAACATCTGTGATATGATGGTGTTTCTCCGATCAGGAAACATTTGTACACATACGTGCCACAATGGTATATTTCCAATTAGGAAACTTTTATAACAAGACGGTGTTTCCCATATAAGGAGTCATTTGTAACATGGTGCTGTTCCTCGTATAAGTGGACATTTGTTACACGACGGTGTTTCTCATATAGGAAATCGTTTGTAACATGATGGTGTTTCTCATATAAGGAGACATTTGTAGCATGGTGGTGTTTCTCATATAAAGCGTCATTTGTAACATGACAGTGTTACCTAATAAAGAGGCATTTGTAACATGACGGTGTTTTCTCATATAAAGAGTCATTTGTAACATGACGGTGTTTCTCATACAAGAAGACATTTGTAACATGACGGTGTTTCTCACACAAGAAGACATTTGTAACATGACGGTGTTTCTCATATAAGAAGACATTTGTAACATGACGGTGTAACTCATACAAGAAGACATTTGTAACATGACGGTGTTTCTCACACAAGAAGGCATTTGTAACATGACGGTGTTTCTCATATAAAGAGTCATTGTAACATGACGGTGTTTCTCATACAAGAAGACATTTGTAACATGACGGTGTTTCTCACACAAGAAGACATTTGTAACATGACGGTGTTTCTCATATAAGAAGACATTTGTAACATGACGGTGTTTCTCATATAATGAGACATTTGTAACATGACAGTGTTTCTCAAATAAGATGACATGTGTAACATTGTGTTGTTTCTCATATAAGGAGACATTTGTAACATGACGGCGTTTCTCATATAAGATGACATTTGTAACATGATGGCGTTTCTTGGATAAGGAGACATTTGTAACATGGTGTTGTTTCTCATATAAGATGACATTTGTAACATAATGGTGTTTCTCATATAAGAAGGCATTTGTAACTTGACAGTGTTTCTCATATAAGAAGACATTTGTAACATGATGGCGTTTCTTGGATAAGGAGACATTTGTAACATGATGTTGTTTCTCCTATAAGATGACATTTGTAACATAATGGTGTTTCTCATATAAGAAGACATTTGTAACATGACGGTGTTTCTCATATAAGATGACATTTTTAATATGGTGGTGTTTCTCATATAAGAAGACATTTGTAACATGACGGTGTTTCTCATATAAGAAGACATTTGTAACATGACAGTGTTTTTTGTATAAGATGACATTTTTAACATAATTGTGTTTCTCATATAAGAAGACATTTGTAACATGACGGTGTTTCTTGTATAAGATGACATTTTTAACATAGTTGTGTTTCTCATATAAGAAGACATTTGTAACATGACGGTGTTTCTCATATAAGATGACATTTGTAATATGATGGCGTTTCTTGGATTAGGAGACATTTGTAACATGGTGTTGTTTCTCATATAAGATGACATTTGTAACATAATGGTGTTTCTCATATAAGAAGACATTTGTAACATGACAGTGTTTCTCGTATAAGATGACATTTTTAACATGGTGGTGTTTCTCATGTAATGAGACATTTGTAACATGACTGTGTTTCTCATATAAGAAGAAATTTGTAACATGACTGTGTTTCTTATATAACAAGACATTTGTAACATGACGGTGTTTCTCGTATAAGATGACATTTTTAACATGGTGGTGTTTCTCATGTAATGAGACATTTGTAACATGACGGTGTTTCTCATATAAGAAGACATTTGTAACATGACGGTGTTTCTCATGTAATGAGACATTTGTAACATGACGGTGTTTCTCATAGAAGAAGACATTTGTAACATGACGGTGTTTCTCATATAAGAAGACATTTGTAACATGACGGCGTTTCTCATATAAGAAGACATTTGTTACATGGTGGTGTTTCTCATACAAGAAGACATTTGTAACATGACGGTGTTTCTCATATAAGAAGACATTTGTAACATGATGGTGTTTCTCATGTAATGAGACATTTGTTACATGACAGTGTTTCTCATATAAGAAGACATTTGTTACATGACGGTGTTTCTCGTATAAGATGACATTTTTAACATGGGTGTGTTTCTCATGTAAGAAGAAATTTGTAACATGACAGTGTTTCTCGTATAAGATGACATTTGTAACATGACGGTGTTTCTCATATAAGAAGAAATGTGTAACATGACGGTGTTTCTCATGTAATGAGACATTTGTTACATGACAGTGTTTCTCATATAAGAAGACATTTGTTACATGACGGTGTTTCTCGTATAAGATGACATTTTTAACATGGGGGTGTTTCTCATGTAAGAAGAAATTTGTAACATGACAGTGTTTCTCATATAAAAAGACATTTGTAACATGACGGATTTTCTCGTATAAGATGACATTTTAACATTGTGGTGTTTCTCATGTAATGAGACATTTGTAACATGACAGTGTTTCTCATATAAGAAGACATTTGTTACATGGTGGTGTTTCTCATACAAGAAGACATTTGTAACATGACAGGTTTCTCGTATAAGATGACATTTTAACATGGTGGTGTTTCTAGTATATTTCATTTAAGGAATTTAAGGAGACATTTGTTACATGACGGTGTTTCTCATATAAGAAGAAATTTGTAACATGACAGTGTTTGTCATATAAGTAGACATTTTTAACATGGTGGTGTTTCTCATATAAGAAGACATTTGTAACATGACGGTGTTTCTCATATAAGGAGACATTTGTAACATGATGGTGTTTCTCATATATAGAGACATTTGTAACATGATGGTGTTTCTCATATAGGGAGACATTTGTAACATGATGGTGTTTCTCATATAGGGAGACATTTGTAACATGATGGTGTTTCTCATATAGGGTGACATTTGTAACATGATGGTGTTTCTCATATAAGGAGACATTTGTAACATGATGGTGTTTCTCATATAAGAAGACATTTTAACATGACAGTGTTTCTCGTATATGATGACATTTGTAACATTGTGGTGTTTCTCTTATAAGAAGACATTTGTAACATGGTGGTGTTATTCATAGAAGAAGAAATTTGTAACATGACGGTGTTTCTCGTATATGATGACATTTGTAACATTGTGGTGTTTCTCATATAAGAAGACATTTTAACTTGACAGTGTTTCTCGTATATGATGACATTTGTAACATTGTGGTGTTTCTCATATAAGATGACATTTGTAACATGACAGTGTTTCTCGTATATGATGACATTTGTAACATTGTGGTGTTTCTCATATAAGAAGACATTTGTAACATGACGTTGTTTCTCGTATATGATGACATTTGTAACCTGGTGGTGTTTCTCATATAAGAAGAAATTTGTTACATGACGGTGTTTCTCGTATATGATGACATTTGTAACATTGTGGTGTTTCTCATATAAGAAGAAATTTGTAACATGACGGTGTTTCTCGTATATGATGACATTTGTAACATGGTGGTGTTTCTCATATAAAAAGACATTTGTAACATGACGGTGTTTCTCGTATATGATGACATTTGTAACATGGTGGTGTTTCTCATATAAGAAGACATTTGTAACATGACGGTGTTTCTCGTATATGATGACATTTGTAACATGGTGGTGTTTCTCATATAAGAAGAAATTTGTAACATGACGGTGTTTCTCGTATATGATGACATTTGTAACATTGTGGTGTTTCTCATATAAGAAGAAATTTGTAACATGACGGTGTTTCTCGTATATGATGACATTTGTTACATGGTGGTGCTTCTCATATAAGAAGAAATTTGTAACATGACGGTGTTTCTCGTATATGATGACATTTGTAACATGGTGGTGTTTCTCGTATATGATGACATTTGTTACATGGTTGTGTTTCTCATATAAGAAAAAATTGTAACCTGACGGTGTTTCTCGTATATGATGACATTTGTAACATTTTGGTGTTTCTCATATAAGAAGAAATTTGTAACATGACGGTGTTTCTCGTATATATGATGACATTTGTAACATGGTGGTGTTTCTCATATAAGAAGACATTTGTAACATGACGGTGTTTCTCGTATATGATGACATTTGTAACATGGTGGTGTTTCTCATATAAGAAGATATTTGTAACATGACGGTGTTTCTCGTAATGATGACATTTGTAACATTGTGGTGTTCTCATATATGAAAACATTTGTAACATGACGGTGTTTCTCGTATATGATGACATTTGTAACATTGTGGTGTTTTTCCATATATGAAAACATTTGTAACATGACGGTGTTTCTCGTATATGATGACATTTGTAACATGGTGGTGTTTCTCATATAAAAAGACATTTGTAACATGACGGTGTTTCTCGTTTATGAAGACATTTGTAACATGGTGGTGTTCTCATATAAAAAGACATTTGTAACATGACGGTGTTTCTCGTATATGATGACATTTGTAACATGGTGGTGTTTCTCATATAAGAAGAAATTTGTAACATGACGGTGTTTCTCATAGAAGAAGACATTTGTAACATGACGGTGTTTCTCGTATATGATGACATTTGTAACATGGTGGTGTTTCTCATATAAAAAGACATTTGTAACATGACGGTGTTTCTCGTTTATGATGACATTTGTAACATGGTGGTGTTTCTCATATAAAAAGACATTTGTAACATGACGGTGTTTCTCGTATATGATGACATTTGTAACATGGTGGTGTTTCTCATATAAGAAGAAATTTGTAACAACATGACATTGTAACGGTGTTTCTCGTATATATGACATTTGTAACATGATGGTTGTTCTCATATGTAACATGACGGTGTTTCTCGTATATGATGACATTTGTAACGTGGTGGTGTTTCTCATATAAGAAGAAATTTGTAACATGGTGGTGTTTCTCCTATTAGAAGACATTTGTAACATGACGGTGTTTCTCATATAAGAAGACATTTGTTACATGGTGGTGTTTCTCATACAAGAAGACATTTGTAACATGACGGTGTTTCTCGTATAAGATGACATTTTTAACGTGGGGGTGTTTCTCGTTTATGATGACATTAATTTTGTTACATGACGGTGTTTCTCATATAAGAAGAAATTTGTAACATGACGGTGTTTCTCGTATAAGATGACATTTGTAACATTGTGGTGTTTCTCATATAAGAAGAAATTTGTCACATGACGGTGTTTCTCATATAAGAAGACATTTGTAACATGACGGTACGTGTTTCTCCTTAAAGCAATGATATTGTTAAAAATTTTCGATAATTTTTTAATTTTGATTATATATCATTTATACAAGAGCATTTATGTTAAGTTTTTTTTTTGTGATTTTAACATTATCTTTTTTTAAGTGTGTAAAAATGGTCGATTTACAAAAGCTTGCATAACAGCACCGTATTTCACAACAAGACTTCTTTTTCGTTTCGGAGAGATGCTTAGTGAAGAAACCAGCATTTAAGATGATAACGATAACAATGAAAATTTTATAATGAAAATACATAACGAGTTTCTTGCTTGTTGATTAGCTTTATAGTCAGTAAGTACAAAAAGTGTACGGTTGTAGCCTATAATATTCATAAAACATATTTATTATAACGGACATCAGTTGATAGATCCCTAATCTGACCTCTTATTTGAATAACAATAGATTTAACCACAAACATGGACATGTGCTCTTTTGTTAACAATTGGTTGAGGTGAAATTGTATCCACTACTTTGATAACTGGAATAAGACAGGTCAGGGATCTATGCATATACCATATACCGGTTTAACGAATTACTTAAATAAAAGTTATGAGATTTACACACTTACCGTTAAAAACAGACGATAATAAATATAATCCAATCACTGAATAAACGGTATTCCCTAAATGATGCATGTCTAGGCCATTCTGTCTTTCACTGATCCATCAATCTTTCTAAGACTTCCGACAATTATAGAGGAAACTATCTGTCCCAGGCAATACTGATACTGGAGATAATAGTTACCGTGTTTATAGCATTGCTTTGCATATCGAATAGTAAAATCGTTTCTATCGTTCTAAACAAACGTTGAGGTATTTGTAAAATTGTCACTAGTTTTGTCATCGAAGAAATGCTGGGCGACAATTAAGCTGTCATTGGAAAATGATCTGTTAAAAGGCAATTGATGTTAAGGGTGAAAAACGTTACTCACATTTTTCAAAGTCCCCACCCAGAAGTCATCTATCCTATCAAAATACAAGAACGGTTGCAAAGACTGTAATACTCATGTTTTGCCCCCCTGTTTGTTAACATCATCATACCAGCGTGTATAAAGAGAGGTTTGGTACACAAACCGTCCATCATTTTATTGTATACTTTATAAGGATAAAAATGCAGGAATTTTCAAACACACGAGCGTATGAAATAGTTACCACTTTTGCGTTGGATGAAAATGTTGTCACATGTCCTCGCTCTAGTACCATTTTTTCCATCAACCTAGCTTCCTGGCCTACAGATATCACACAAATAGTCAAAATATTACTTCCGCTACGAGGGACTTAATTATATAAATGTAAAACGCCTTTATCTGAGTCGGCTGTGATACCATATAAATAGTTTTGTTATTATTGTGTTACATTATAAAATATCTTTTGATATAAAATATCTACAAATTATAAGTGAACAATGTCTTCTGATAATTCCAATGCAAAATTAGTAATTTGGTAAATGATCCCATGTACTGATATTTAAAACATATTGCTATAAATGCAGCACCAGTACTATGTGCTCCTGGTAAAAACATCAACCTTGAATGAAACAAGAACGTGTTAAACACAAATGCCCCCATATTCCTGTCAGTTAAATCTTTTTTTCATAAAAGATTTACCCCTTCACTCATGGCAACCAGAATTCTGCATGGAATTAAATTCTTTGACTTTTTTTAAAGGT